TAATGAATTCTTCTTCTCCTCTGCCTCCCCCTTCCCTTCTCTCCCCTCCTCCTCCCCCCTCCTCCCCTCCCCTCCCCCCTCCTCCCCCTCCTTCTCCTTCTTCTTCTTCCTACTACTACTACTGCTAAAAGAAAGTTGAGGACATTTGTAGATAACTGGGTTTGCCATTGTATAGAAATGGCAGAACACTGATAATATAGGACTAAATAAAATAAAACTGCATCATGTATAATTGTGAATATTTACATATACATTTTGTATTCTTATCAGATGAATAGTTTTGTTGTTCTTCTTGTTGTTAGTCTAAACTCTGGATCTTTAAATGAAGTTTAAATTGGAAAGCCTCTCCTCACTTTTCCCAGCTGTATAGCACTGGGAAAGTTCCTCTATTTCTCTGAGCCTCAGTCTGTAAAGTTAGAAAAATACCACCACACATGGATATTACGAGGACTCACTGAAAACGTATTTCACACATGTGGCATCATGCCTGGTACATAGTAGGTACTCAGTACGTTTGTTCATTAGAGAACCTGCTTTTGAAAATGGCTTTTCACTTAGATTTTTTGGTCCTCCTCCCAGAGGTTTAACCGTTGTTGATATTAGACTGAACCAAGGTAAGTTCACTACCTCTAGACATTCGGACTTGAGAAAGCAAACATGAATGAGGAAAACGTGTTTTATATTTTTATTTTCAAGAGCTTTGTAGTTTTATACATTCCTTTATTCAGCAGATATTTATGACACTGAGTATGGAGTTGAGGCTGTGTTAAAAGATCTTTGGCCTTTTTCCCAAACTCGTATCCCTTTGGTTTGTATGTAAGTATGCTCACCTAGACTTATATCCCTGTTGGAGAGATACACATCCAGAAATACTAGGAGACACTTCAAGATGGTGAAAAATTAAGTGCCATAAAAAATGGTATAGCCATTAAGCCTTACTTTTGAGAGGAGAGAAAGAGTGATATACATGACGGGGAAAGAAAAGTTGGAGAAAGTGAAACTTGACCTTGACTTTGAACGAGGAGGTTTGGGCTGGGGATATGGGAATAGGTATGTGAGGGGGAGTGAATATACTGCTTTGGGGATGAAGAATAAATATGACATCAATTTGATAGAAAGGAAGTTTAGCCAGTTTAGAGATGTTTGGTATTTTGTTCTGTTAAGAGGTCAGCACAAATAGCTATAGTGTAATGTTTTCAACCTTTTCAGCCGTTTTTGGTCATTTCCCCCTTACAAAAGAGCCTTTGTAAACTTTAAAAATTTTTAGTAATCATCCCTTTTCCCCATGAAGATTTAATACCACTGATATGTTTTATTTCTGTTTATGTGCTATGCAGGTTTGTAGGACCACTGACTCTTGTATTAGCTAAGGTTGCTTTTTCACCCTTCCTACCCAAGAACTGATTGCCTCCCTCTTGTGGGGGATGTCACCACTGTTAGAATGCATGCTGTCGTGGGACCAATATATGAGGGGCCTTCACTGTCAAATTGAAAATCATGTGCCTTGTTCCCCTGCAGGGTTTCATTATTCTCTTCATAATTTGGGGTTTCATTTTGGATAGCCTGAGTAACTTATGCTATAGGACTGGAGGTCCCTGTTAATTTTCAATAACTATACCTATATTGAATCTTGGTTACATATTTAGTGAGGAGTGTGTGTGTGCATATGTGAGTGCATGCGTGCATATATAACATATACAGACAATATATTTGTGTGTTTGTATATAAATGGGAGGATTTAGGTTGAAGGGAGAATTTTTTAGTGGGTTTAAAATGACAGCTTTGGGCTTTAGAGGAAGCAAGACTGATCTAGGTTCTGTGTTTCTTAGGACCCGGTCTTACACCGTCTACAGACAAGCATGCAGCATGGAGCAGCAGACCATCTACAGGCGCTGCCCTGGTTGGAGCCGGCGGGACAATGAACCTGGCTGCCTCCGCTGTAAGTTGTAATTCTTCCTGTCTGACTCTCTGTCACTAGGAGTAACAGTTTTACTCTGTTTTGGGCTTCAATCATATCATGCCTGTCAAGTTTTAGGCATCTTTAGAATCACCACAGATTCAGAGCATCTCTTTGGACTGAAAATGCACACATGACATGTGCAAAAATGCACAAAAAGCCTTTCTGTGAAGTGTTTCCAATGATAGATGTGAAATCAGAACCTGTAGAATGGCTGCTTTATATTCTGTCTCCTTATGTAAAAGACAGTTTATTTAAAGCCAGACAGGTTACACCTTGACTTCCATCTCCCTTTTCTGTTTGCCCCTTTCCCATATCATCACATTTGTAATCCACAATTGATTCAAAAGTCCGGAGGGAAATCACCGTACTAAATCTAAATGGGATTTCTCGACTTGTGCTTGTCATGATTAATTGCAGAACTCTGGAAGCAGTTTACTTTTTAAGATGAGGTGTGTGGTCCTTTTCTAAACCTCTGGTGAGGATATTCCAGAACCTATGGAGTATGTTTGACAGCACTCCAGCAGCAGAAATAGTGGTATTGTATAGTTCATCCATGCCAGGAGAAACGGCTCCAGTTAGAGACTCCTTTACCTGTGTGTTTACCGTAACTGTGAAGTCACTTAAAATGCTTCGGTGTGTTGCACTCAGTGCGGCGCCCCAGCACAATTCATCTTTTCTGTTATCCTGCACCTTCGGGACTTTGTCGGCATCCTGGTTCCTTCCCCACTGTGCTTTCTGCTCTTAAAATAGCTTAGTGAAGTGGCCTCAGGCTTCCCATGTTAAGCAGGCTTAATGTGGAGGGATGCACAAGGGTCACTGTATTTGCACGCAGGGCTGGGTGCAGCTGGCTGATTTAAGCTCAGCGCATCCATCTGCCCGTGATATCATCTCAACTGTAATACACAGTCTGGGAAATTAATGACTGTGAGATGAATGTTTTATATTGTGGTATGGCATCTAGCACAGTCTTTTGCCTCTGGTATTAGTATTTCTTGCTGGTTTTTTATATTGTTTTGGCTACACCATCACCTGCTCCATGGAGTTTCTTTAGATGAGTGCTACTCAAACTTGAATATGAATACAGATCACCTAGTACCTTGTTAAGATGTGGATTCTGATTCAGTAGATCTGGAATGGGGCATTTCTACAAAGCTTCAAGCGATGTAGAAGTTACCATGTACAGAGTTCTACAAGGCTTTATTCAGACAGCGTTACTTTGTGATGTAAACACTTTTCCATGGAGGGGCTACGGAGGAACTGGTACAGGTTTCTAGATTACATCTATATTAGCAACATGGTGCTTGCCTTGGGGATTTTCTTTCTTTCCCTCAAGTCCATTCTCCCCCGCCTTCTTGTCCACCTTCCTTTTAGCTGTCTCTGCAATGGGGACTTGTTTCAATGGAAGAAGATACTCAGAGGGTGAAGCCCAGCGGTGCCAGTGTTGCAAGGGTTTTCAGGGACCCCGATGTCAATATGGTGAGTCGCCAACAAGACCATTTTATTGTGATTTGATGCTCTCTGCCTTGCTTTTAGGGACAGGCCATTTTTGTTGATTCTGACTAATGGCAGAGTTATCCCTCCGGGGACTGGTGAGCATTTCAAATGAGCCACTAAGCAAAAACCTACAACCTACAGAGTACTTAGCCTCACAAATTATGCTTTGCAGTTTAGTTTTAATTATTCACTATCAGAGTTCAAAGGGTAGCGGTAAGTACAGAATACTCTTATTTTGTAAAGGAAATGGCAGCTTAATAAGAAAACCTCTTTCTGACCTCAGATGTTAAATCTTTAATGGAGCCATGGTTTGAAAGCGCTGGTGTAGTATTCTTTTGTGAGATTTATGTGGTTTGTGAATAAACAAAGTTGGTATTAAGACAAATGCAGTGTGATGTGATATTTACTACTTTAGCGTCCTTTGTTTAAAAAAGAAAAAAGCCCAGAAAAACCTGACACTTGCATGATTCTCAAAGTTTCAAAACTTGGTAACCTAGTTTTCAAGGATGGAGCTTAATCAGCTGTCAGCTTTGGACGTGTACCTTTAAGATGTTTCTTGTACAGGAAATCTTCAAAATGGCCAATGATTTATCTTTTACTGTATCTGCTCTGAGATTGGGTGGTTTCAAAAGGAGTTGTTTTGACTTGATCATCTGATTCTGGTCTCCAGAGAATGTGAATGCATCCGCGTTTATCTTTGCAAGGCAGAAAAAACAAAACAAAACCTACTGTATAGAAGTTAAAGAAATAGGTGTAAGAAACTAACAAAACTATTGTACGCATTACCTTCTGCTGATGTGTTCACCTTCTCTTATCCCTACCTGAATCTTTGTCAGTGGAATTGGAAGGTTGCTGAGAGCTCATCACTCATGTCCGTTTGCCTCCTCTGCCCTTGGCGTAAGGTTCAGGCTTACGTTGTTCATGGGTCACCCTAAAAGCTATTTTTCTTGTAAATTAATCTTGATACTTTTTCTAGGTTGTTTGCTTTTTTTTAAAAAAATTGTGAATTAAAATAAAGCCAATTTTCAATCCCAATTTATTCTTTGACAATGAAACACTGATTCTGAAATAGAGGGCAGTATATACCTTGAGATCTGAGGTGTATCTTCAACTGTTCCCATTATTTTTAAGACATTGACAGACCTGTATGTTGATCCATGAGATTGAATTATTTGCCCTTAAGTAATTGTTTCAACTATGTGGGCAACACTGGTTTCTTCATCTTGATCAGTAGCTCAATACATGTCATTAATTCATTAAGAATTTAAAAAGTAATTAATTATTACTTTATTAATTCATTTGTTTTAGTAGAATAAATCTTGCAAAACATCAAGTCCCTGAGGGGAGAGGTAATTAAGAGACATATGGTAATGATAATGACCTAGAAATTACACCTGGATTAATTTATTCCTTATTTTTCTACATCAGTACTTGAATATTTTGATTATTTCAATTTCTTAACAATTTTTATTTACCAAAGTAATTAAGTAGCTAGATTTTGTATTTTTTAGTTTTGGGTTGGTGAAAATACTGGATTATTTTAAACATAGGCAGAATCAGTGTGTGTTTTCCACAAGTTTGTTTGTATACCAAAAAGTTCCATAAGTCACTGGGGGAGACCAACCTTACAGAATACCATTAGGAGTCTGCATTGCCTTTTTTAGTGTTTTGTCCAAATGTATTTACAACACAGTTAAGAATGAGTGATATGAACTGAGTCTTGATAGTGGATCAAAAATGAAAATTAGAAAAGACTGTTTTTAAAAAGAATGTAATTGAAAGGGCATATACATACTCTATCAAGCAGGTGGATTATAGTCTGGAGGTACTGCCTATAACCTGTCTCTTATCCAATGGCTGGATTTGAGTTCTGAATTATGAGTGTATAATCCTTGGTCTGACTGACATTACTCTGTCTAAATATGGTGTGTGTGTGTGTGTGTGTGTGTGTGTGTGTGTATATATACATATATATATATATTTACTGTTTTTCAAATTATGTAAACAATGATTCAAGTGATAAAAATAATTCAAGTCCTAAAAAATTTAAATTATTAAAAATTAACAGTATATACAATATCAAAAAGTAAAAATGTATGGTTCTTGTGCCCTTAGAAAAACATGTGGTCACTTGTTAATATATATTTAGTCATAGTCATACAATATATGATAATCATACAGTATATGCAATTTTAATTAAATGAGATCATATATACTGTTTTGACATGAATGTCCCTCTGTTTTCCTTACATTACTTTTTCTTCTCTTCCCATTCAACTTTCTCTTTCCGCCCTAGATTACAATCTTCTGAATACTCTTTTGTCTATTTCTCTGGTCTCATGGGATCATATACAGACAGCTGCATAAGATTTCATGGTAGTGATGTGCCATACGTTTTAAACTACTCATTTTTTGATGGACATTCATTTTCTTTCCAGTTTTTTTGGCACAAAGATCAGTGCTGTAATAACATGCTGCTTTTACTTCCATGATACAGATTCCCAGCAGTGGGACTATTAGGTTCAATTACTTGTGAAGTGATTTTTGGGCCATGGTAATGACTTTGCCAGTTTACTGGTTTTGGCAGACTAAAAATCTAGATGAATGCAAATTATTTACTTATTTTTTTGACAAGTTAATGTAAGAGGGAATTACTTGCATCTTCATCTATACCTGGAGATCTGATAGATTAAAATATCTAGAATCAGAGTAAACATGGGTTGCTTTTATTATAGGCTAAAGTTTACTTTATTTGACATGTATGGGGAGAAAAAAAGGTTTAGAAAATGAACCAGATGACCTTTCAGAAATGGAGAAAAGAATCCAATCCCAGAGAGAGAAAGGACATGCTAATAAATGAGAGAAACGCTTGAAGTTGATAATGATTATAAAATTGCTGATCTACTTAACTCATGTGAAAAATCTGCCTCTAATAAGGAAAAATGAAGAAAATGAATTTGGACAATTAGGAAGTAATGAAGAGCTTTCTAAAATAACTATTGATTAAAGGAATCAAAGGGAATACTTTGAAGATTTGAACGCATGCAAATCAAGCTAGATGGCTGGTGGTGAAACAGTCTCCTTTTTAATTCTGTGGATCGAGGCAGAACAACTTGGAGCTTCATTAACTGATTTGTATCACATGCAAAGTGACTCCTTTTCTCCTCATCACTTACTCCATCTTCCCTTTCCCTGGTAAGAAGTTGAGTTAAGTTATGATGTGCCTAATGGTTGGATGCTAAGACTCTGAGCTCTTCTAATTTCTTTCATTTATATATTCATTCATTCATGCATTCTTCTAGTCAGTCTTCCAGTTAGTCAGTAGATATTAATACATCAGTCTGTGTGCTAGGTACTGCAGACACCAAAACAAATACAGCATCCTTAGTGTGGTGGGACATAGAGACCAGGAAATCAGTGATTGTAACATCTCTCGCAAGTGCTATGCTAGAGGATGGTTCTGTCCCAGAGAACACAGGAGAGCGTTGCTCTGTGTGATGCAGGGAGATAAATGAAGTTTTATGAGAAGATTTGAAAATAAAAAATACAACTTAGTCTTAAGATAAACAGAGCAATAATATGAAATGGGGCATAGGAAATAAACTGTTTCCCAGAGACATTAAAAGCAAAGCAAGTTCAAGGAGCAATAATAATAATACAAGTAGTTCTCTTGGCTGCAGTAAGAGATGCACATGGGACATGGCAAAAAGAACGTGGTTTCGCTTATGTCCAGGGCAGCAGTTTCTTAATTTTCCTTCGTCCAGCCAAACTGGCTCTTCCAGAACCTTATGCAGAGGCGGTTACTGGGTCTTCAAGGACTTTGTCTTCCTTAAATCAGGTTCTCTGAACAGACAGTTTAGCAGACAGAGTTTCTTGAACATAGAACACTGCTGGTTGGTACTTTATCCCTAGGCCAGAGTCCCCAGATGTCTCCATTACTTCAAAGAGTGATAGTTATGCACCTCAAAAATGGAGTGTTGCTGGAATGCTATCCAGTGACATGAAAAATCCTCACAAGTTCTGGGGTTGAAGTCAGGTCACACCAGTGACCACTTGCACTGTATTGGAGAAGTCATTTTATATCCCTGAGCTTCGATATCATCATTTGTAAAATAATAATGCCTCTAATTTTCCTGAGCACCTTCCATGCACCAGGCACTATTCTATATTTACATGGATGAAATTATTAATCCTTACAACAAGTCTATGAGGTTAATACTCTTATTTGTCCCATTTTTGTATCCAGCTGAAGCATCCCAACCTATTGAAAGATCAGACAACTGGGAAGTAGGGGATCTGGCATCCGTGTCCAAGTGCTCTGGCTCAGTGTCTGCAAGCTTAAGCTTTAAGCCATGGCCTCTTTGTAATAATCCTTGACATAATTATCTGTCAGTCGTATTGTTATCTGTGAGAGTCATACAAGGTGATCTGTAAGGTAGAAAGCGTTATCCAACCATTACTTGTTTTTGTTGACTGTAGATTCCTGGAGGATCTTTAAGGGAAGTGCACACAGTGACATGGGAAAGGCTTCTGCTGTTTCTTCGATTCCCATCCAGTGGGAAATCAGAGCAAACCTTGGGTGTTGGGTCACCAGTGGTTTTCAAGCAACCAGTAGGTTCCAGTCAAGGAGTCCAATGAGCTCTCACCATGATAGATCTCATCTGTTCTATGCGGGTAGAATAGGAGATTGGACCAAGGTATTTTCTTAAGATGCTGTGTCTCCAAGAACATTTTGATTTGGAGAAATGGTATAGGTTGAATTGTATCACCCCAAATTTGTATTTTGAAATCCTAACCCCATAGTAGTTCAGAATGTGACCTCATTTAGAAATATGATTTTGCAGATATAATTAGTTTAGGTGCTATCATACTGAAGTGAGGTGGGACCCTAATCCAGTATGACTGGTGTCCTTATGAAAAAGGGGGATTTGGACGTAGAGGCATGCACACAGGGAGAATACCATGGGAAGATGCGGGCAGAG